AACCACGCGCCGCCTTTCCCAAATCCAATTGTGCGTCGTAGATTTCAGACGCTGCAATGAGTCTTTCAAATGTTCAATCAAATCGCTGTTTGGAGCTTTTGCAGCCAAAGCTACAAACGCTCTACGGCCCACGGCTCTCAGGCCAACACCTGGCAGGAAGTCACCGATTACAGCGGCTCACCGCCCACGGCGCGGCGCTCGCATTCGGCCGTGTGGGCCACCAACGCGATGCTGATCTTTGGCGGATATGACGGCAGCAGCGGCGGGCTCAGTGAGGCGGTGAGTTTCGTGAGGCTTCACGCGGCGCGAAGCGATTCGTTGAGGCAGTCTGAACGATTTGCACGCCTACGATCCGGAGGCTGGGAGGAGTATGGAGGAGTGATCCAACTAAGCAAGGAATATCAAGGATCTTTTGGATGAAAAGGTCACTGACTTTTGAAGATTCAATCGCGCGCAACATTTTTTTGAGGGTCAATGCAAACCAAACTTGTATCGACCAGCAATCTCAGCAACCATCATGGAGCGGGCATGGTGGGTAATTGGCACCTTGAGCTCGCCCACTTCGACCGGAGTGCTAGAAAAGTAGAATTGGAGGGGACTTACTGGGTCGCAGACGTTGAGCCGCAAGCTTGGGCTTGGGGCCTGGCCTTGCGCCGCACTAATTACGGGTCAAGGCGATGGATGTAACAACAATACTACTTTACGATTCCTACAGTTCCAAAAGTGCTCTTTGACTCTCAAATGAGTGGATCATGGGCACACCCTCCGCATTCGCGACATTCATGGGAAGCTCATCGGGTCGCTCCGAGTTTGTGTCGCAGTAGGGGGCTCATCGCACATTCTTTTTGTGAGCAGTTTGCAATGTAGATCAGAGTGCGTGTCATTGACATTTTCATCCGCAGCCAGTTTTTGGATTGAGAGAAAAAGATTCGTATGGTAGCGGAGCTGGGATATAAGGGTAAACCCTTTCGAGCTCCAAAGAAAAGCTTCTAGGTCACTGGGACCCCGGGAGCGTCTGAGCCATAGATTTGGGGCCTTTGGAACCCAAACTGCTGATCTGTTGACAAATTGCCGTACATTGCATGAGTCGGACAGTATTGTTTTGGGTAAGAGAGATCCTGAAACAAGCACAAGCAGCAGCAGCAACAGACAGGTCAAAGCTGATCACAAAGCCTCGCTTATTTGACCGTAAGTCACAGAGATCAAACCGTTCAGAGAGTGGTCATAGGTGTTTTGAGGCTTACATGAAGGACTTGAAAGAGATTCATGACAAGCCAAATGACAACTTCGATATGGACTTGGGGCAGAGAGAAGAGACCAGGTGCCTTAAGTTGTATGGATTGCTAGCTTCGTTGATGAGGCGCACAGAGCACCATTAAAGCCGTGGACTCCCATGGCTTTGATGCCTGGAGGAGTTTAAACAGAGCTTGGAAACCTACCTCAAAGGCGAGGAGCAGCCTGATTTTGACGGATGGGAACAAGTGTTGCAGTGGGACCGTTCTCAGCAGAAGTGGGCTACTTCAATGGTTGCAAGTAGCAGTACCGAATATCAAGGACCCATGCCTATAATGGACGTTGATAGAGGTCAAGATGCCCAAGGAAAAGGCAAGAGAGGTAAGAATGACTACCAAAAGGGCAATCTAGAGATGCCAAAGGACAAGGAAAGAAAGGAAAAGGAGAACAACCGAAAGGAAAGGAAGGGCAAAGACCGGAAAGGAAAAGGTGTGGCTACTTGTGAAACTTGTGGGAAGCCCGACATCTGGCTCGAGACTGGAGAATCAGAACAAATATTCGACAGGTTGCAAGCGACGCAGCCCATTCATCTTCAGGAGGAGCTTCAGTGACAACGCATACAGTTGCTCAACAACAAGCCACGGTGACTCAGCAGAGCAGTTCAGCCGAGACCCAGCCAGTTGTCAGAAGGGTCGAGAACAATGAGCCAATCATCTTCGACCGACAAGAGATGCATAATGGTTCAGAACCTCATGGAATTCGAATTGTTCACTTCTACATGGGAGATGATGATGGTGATGAGCCATGGTAAGACTTGGAGAAGAGGGAGAGAGAGAGAGATGATGCGGCAATCATTACCGATGGTTGAGCTGATGGAGCTTTATTCCCTTAAGTATGGCAGATCATGGGGAAGAAGAACTAGGGTGCAACTCAGCGACCAAACTACAAGATGCCCATGGGCTTAGGGGAATCGCGTCCCCGGCACAGTTGCGAAGAGCGTTGAAATCTCCTCGCGTGACATCGATGGACATGAAGTATTTCTCATAGAGAATGTGATATTCAGTTCAAAAGTGAATCAGCCCATACTCTGCTATGGAAGACTGATGGAGCATGGTTGGTGAATGAATGGTCGAGAGGAAACATTAGAGAATGGTGACTTGAAGCTAGACTACACAAACGTGTGGGGCGGCGCGAGAACCTACGCGTCGCTTGCGAGATCACCCATTGCAACATTCCGGTGGCAGTGGAGCAGGAGGATGGGTCAGAGATTACTCAGATCATGGCATGGCCAGTTCTCTTACCACACAATTTGGTGGCTGCTTTGGTGGACCAAGGGCGTCTCAATTTGCTACTCGGCGATGCACCAGTGCGACATCTATATTGGCAAAAAATCAAGATGGACTTTACTTCGCTGTCTGATGTTGATCCAAACCTTTCTGCGCCGCTTGCTCTTTATGGTGATGAATGCACAGCTTTTCGCCAAGCCACAATGGCTTTCCACTGGCAAGCGCTTTTGAACCCACACTCAAGTAATTCCATCCAATCCAGATTCTTGATTGCGATGATTCCAAGCCAGTACTATGTGCAGCAGGTTACTTGGTGAAAAACAACGGGAAAACAAATTAAGTGGTAGGGTGTTGAGAAACCTTTTGTGTGCTGATTGCACCTGTTGCCCAGGATGGGGTCAACCTCACTATCCAGTGCTTGATGAGTTACATTGTGGAATCCCTACAGAAGCTCAGCTGCTTTGGAATTCGCGTGGCCAATGACACGAAGAGAGTGGACCCTGAAACGCTTGATGGCCTGACCTACCACTTCCACATCATGAGCATTCGAGGAGATTGGAAATTTTTGAAGCAAATCCTGAATTTATCTCGGTACGCCACTGCAGAGTATATATGTCCTTTCTGTATGGCCAGCAAGGGGTTGAAAGATATCCCGAATAACTACACAGACCTGAGTGATGATGCCCCGTGGCGTTCAACGCATTTCACCTGTTCTTTGCCGTGGGATGTGGAACCACAAATTTGTCGACTACAAGATTGGGACATTCGAAAGGTAGGCATGGACATGCTGCACATATGGAATTTGGGCTGCGCTCGTGACCTGATCCTCGGTGTTGGGCTGCAGATCTTTTGTTTTTGTAGAAAGTTGCTGGTTATGATAAACGGTTGAGTTTTGATGGTGTGCATTGCCCAGGATTGGTGGATGCATGCAATATTTGGTGAAATCGAAGTACTTTGGTCCTCGTCTTCGGCAAAGCGCAGCTTTAGCGCAAGCGACAGTGAAACTGAAATTTTGGTGCCGATCAAACAAAAAAAAGGTTGCTTTGAATAAATTTTCAAAGGACAACCTTTGTTTCAAGGCCAAAAGGTCTCCGGAGCTGCATGCCAAAGGCATGGATGCGTGTATCATTTTGAGATGGCTTGGGGAAATGCTGGAAGAGAGAGAACCAGAGTGTTCAAAGGTTGCAACCGCCATTTGGTTGGCGAACAGTTTTATGGAAGTTTTGGGCGGGGCAGGCCCTTGGCTGGATGAACACCAGCGGCTTCATGTTCAGATTGTTGGGCTGGCTTTTCAGAAAGTCTACTTGTCCCTGGCATCTGAAAACAGACGCCGGTGGTATGTCAGGCCCAAGTTTCATCTATTGACACACGTGCTGCAAATGCAGCATTCTTCTGGGCGAAACCCCCTGCTTGACAGCACGTGGTTAGATGAGGACTGGATAAAACGTGTGGGGGCCATGGTGCGCCGCTGTCATAAAGTGACGGCCCCACTCACAGTACTACAAAGGTACTTAATTTGTTTGCACCACCGTTTGCCAAAGCTCGAGTGAAATGTGAGCAGATGTATGGCAGAAACCGTGGGGACCACACGCACGGAAACAAACGACACAAACAACAAAGAGGATCAAACAGGAAACGCCCAGGGACACAGACGAAAACAAACGACACAAACAACAGACAGGACCAAACAGGAAACACCCAGACAAGAATGACAAACAATGTTTGCGTTCTAAGTATATACTTTCAAACAAATGTTGCAAAGCTCCGCTACCATACCTGCTCCGCTACCATGCTAAACGCAAGCTAAACGCTTGCTTTAGAAGACATGTGGAAACCATGAATCCATTGTGTTTTGCTGCTAAACGCAAGCTAAATGCTTGCTGTAGAAGACATGTAGTGCACTGTGTTCTGATGCTAAACAAGCAAATGT